GAGAGAAGGCAACTAAGCAGTAAAACCTACCGCCAACTGTAGGGCTACCATTTTACCAACGAATATTGGAACTGACTGTCGTATTATAACGCCCTCACGGTTGAAAGGGCGAACATATTCTATTTTGTGGAATCCAAGGAATCAAACCCGATTCGCCAGCTCCAAATCCAGAGCTATACCAGAGGGCAAACTTGTGCCCTGATTTATTCTTTAAGTAATTGACATACATAAAATATTCAAATTATAGAGAGTTTTCTTTTTATTATTAAAATGATGTTTTGGAGCCTCACTGGGTCGTTACAATAAATATCACTAGTTCTGGTCATACTCTATCTGACGACCGTGCTTCTTTACAATAGACAAGCAACGCAATTTCATTAGCAAAAGACTACTTGGTAAGGATGTCATGTCAAAGCATACCACCCTTCCCTGCTAGCTTACCATAATTCAACTAGTGTACGAGGATTGTGGTTTCACAGAGCCTAAAATGGAATATCGTGAATACCCGTGTCATTCTCCAGCTGCTTCAGGTAGGATATAGTTGAACACACATCTCGTGAAATAAATTTGTGTACACGTGACTTTCCCATACGGATATCTTTATCCGTTTTGTTGCATACTGTTGCCTGGGGCAAGTGGACACCTTTTGTGTTGGTGGATTCTAACCTGTTTGGTAGCTAGGATTCGATTGTTGCAGATCGTTTTTTTTTTGGCTGGTTCTGGTTCCCCAGATGGATCCATATTTCTTTGTTTTCCGATACCATTAAATACAAGGGATATCTTTACCTTGGATTTTTTTAAATTCCAGTCTAATCACATTTATAATGCGAGTACATTAATGTATCGCATCTGAAAGAGCTGTTACATATCCTTCTCAATTTCCTGTGGCATCACATTACAATGAAATGCCAAAGAGTGACAAAATGGAGGTCTGATACATGCTTTTCCATCGTGAATTTAAGTCGACTGTAGTTGTCACGAGTCTTGCTAATTTGCATAGCCAAAATCATCTTAATATAACGTACCAAACCCTCTTTGTAACGTGACAACCTTTACTTGTAAATAAAACAAAACCAAATATCTTACATAATGAACATTTGGTTTGACATCTAATTTCAAATAGATTTATGATTGTTGAAATCTAACCGTTCAATTCCAATAAAGTAGCAATGCCCGAAGTAACGTGCTACTTAATTTGAATTATTTCAAGTGTACTTAAGAGAGAAATTCACATTATATATAAAATAGCCTTGTAATAAATGAATACAATCATGTATTTTCACGGAAATAGAAAAGTTAACAGGCTTTTCGGGTAATTGTTGTTTAAAACGTATAACGCTGGTTAATAATTAAATTAAACATTTTCATCGCATTAAAATCTTTGTATAGTGATGCGAGTTTTCGGCTTTATAGCAGAGAGGAGTGCAAACGCTCGCAATAATCGGTTAACTAAAATATGATAAATTTTAGTGCAGCATCTAATTAGCCTTTTCAGATATATTAACTACACTGGGGAAAATAATTGTGTTTCACGACATCTGTAGTTTAGGAAAAATGCTAAACGTATCTCTTGCCTACTTACTACTCAACAACACTGATAGTCATTGTTATGGTTAATGACCTAAACGATCAGCTAACCATGGCAACAACAAAATCTGATCGCTACATCTTATGGTAAATGCTAAAAGTACCTAAATACCTGTGGCGATTATAATAAAAAAACGTAATTAAAACTTATTGGTCAAATCATACTTAACTTCTTGAGGCTAATTATATCCGATAGAATATTCCTGAAAATATACGCTATTTTATGGTATGTCAGGATACATTAGAAAAGTTGTAGCAAAAAGTTATCATAGCACTAATCAAGTAAAAGTAAAATTAAAAAAAAAACTAACAGTATTAGGTTTGTAGGTAAGTAAATGGATCCCTTCCTATTCAGTCAAGCCTAATAAGTTCAGAACTTAAGCTATTCTGAGATTTTCGAACAAAAGATAGTCATGTTAATAACAGAATAAGTTCACCGACAATTATAGGGTTAGAGCAACAACATGAAAGCTAGTCATAAAATGCGAAAATTTAAGAATCAGGCTTATTTATAAATAGAAAGGCATTAATTAAGACAAGTATGGAAAGCAAAACTGGCATACATTGACACGATGGAATTATAAGTATTTTTTAAATACTTAACTTCGAAAATCTGTTAGCTATAATTTGCTTTTAGGATCTATGGAAACCTAAAATTAGAAAATAAAAAGCTGAACTACGTTACATATTTTGTAAAAACAAAACGTCTAGTGGCGATTGTGTTCAGCACATTGCTTAAATAATTTTTCTACCGGTTGTGAGTCGAAACTAAGAAATTTAACATTCAATTAAGCATTACGTTTTTATTTTAATTCCAGGTGTGAAATGTAATCTACTAGTAATCTAGATCTGTCACCTTGCAATTAAGGTGTCAAGTTAGGTTTTTCTTACGATATTTCTCATGGATGAAAATTCACTCTGTGGTATCCCAACGTTTATTATGAAAAATTTAGATAACAATAAATACCTAAGGAATTATGATGGTTTAACGGTAGATAAAGTTAGGAGTTGAAATCGGAAGGAGAGTAATTTTAAAATTGTAAAACCTGAAAATCACGTTACAAGTTCTAAAATTATGCTAATATTGCCCTAAACTTCATAATAATAATAATAATAACACTCAAAAATGACTTAATAGCGATAGGATAGCAAGTCACATTGAAATAATCTTTCAATCGACAGCTCAAATATGTTATATCATGCTACACTTTAAAATACTGAAACATCTGTTAGCCGAGTTCTCGCACAGATCTTAAAATATAACGTTCATAAATGGAAACATCGGCTCATGTAGATCATTTTCCAGACGGTTCTGCTATGATTAGTGTCTGGCGAAAAGCTTCAGCAGATATTTCTTTTGCAACACCTCAACCAACAATTGGTCCAGTTATCAACGCTATTTTCAAGGTTTGAACAACTCGACTTTCAAGATTGTGCAAGAACTCAGCTAACATATGTTTCCCTATATCAAAGCTATCTTCAAGTTTTGTACAACGAAAAACCTTTAAGTACTTTAGCCACGGCATAGCGGCTCACAGAATGAGATTTTTTGTTTCCAAGCACAAACTTTTAGCTTATTGTTCCGACATCTATTGGCCCAGTTGATTACAGTTTTGGACTCGAAAGGTCAAACCCTTTCGATTAATGTATTTTATTACAGCCAAGGTCTCAGATTAATTTACTCTAATCCTGCCTAAAAGAATTTCAATTTGAGGGTAAGATAGTAGAGATGCGTGCTTGGTGTTGCGGGTGCACAAACATATAACCAATAAAAAAAGGGGGGGGGCTCAGATTACTCTAATCCAGCCTAAAATAATTTCAAATGCCGCGGTTATGGAGAATTCCCTCTTGTTACACGTATGCCAGTTTCAAATTTCAGAAATATTGCAACATTGAAAAATAAACAACATTTAATGAATTGGGAAGTCTTATAACTATATTTGATTTGGAAATTATACTTAAAAGAGTTTCTAGACAGTCAATGAGTTGTGCTAGGACAGTCAGAAGTTAAGACTTAAACTTACAATTTCAGTGCATCCTTAATTTTGGTTTAACTAATTGAAATCACAAAAGCAAAATTGTGTTAGATAATATTTGGACTTAAAACATGAAATGTCACGTAAATGGATTGAATAACATTCAATGTAATGTTTTAGTTGCTATAAAAAGCTTGTGATCAATTTAAATGCATTTCATTTTCTCATCATTTCTGCTTAAGGTTAAAAAAATAACAGATTTTTAGTTGGTTATATGTTTATAAAACCAAAATGAAATCCACATTGATCTAGTGAAACTTAAAGAGCGTAGAAATATTAGAGATTTTACACATCATGGGTAAATAAACCAGTGCTATGTTGTAATGCTTTTGTTGGTTAATGTAATACACACAAGGGCTATCTGCGCTAACCGTCCCTAATTGTGGACTGGTAGACAGGACGTACATCGACTAATTAACAGCTCCTACACCTATCTTTTGGACTACATTTATCGAATAGTGGGATTTGACTGTCATTCTTATAACGCATCCACGGCCTCAAAGTGTTGAGCGCGACTTTTCCTATACTTAGTTCATTCTTATACTCGGAGCCATTGTGCCGCGGCTAAAAAGATGTTTAGTTTGTAAAGAAATATGAGCTTTGCTGTGGTTTCTTCTCGACATATTTTAATTAACTTTTACTAATGTGCTGGAATTTAAATGAAGCAATCCGATACCAGATTCATCTTTAATATTCGAATTGTACGTTTAGATGTTAAGATAATTTCTTTATTATTCTGGTGTGCTAAATGTATCATGCATGTTTATAAGCTATTGGCATTTAAAAATTAATTAAATTATATAAACAAAACGATCATAACGATTTATATACATTTGAAAATAACAATTTTCAAACAATGTAGGTTTTTATAGTTCTTGACTTAGCGTTAATTAGAATCTGGGGGAAAATGTTCTAAAGTATTTTTGTTTTAAATTAAAAAAAATTCCCTCCTCTGAGATTATATACGTAAATCCCTATATATTATTCTTATCTCTCTGGAGGAAAAAAAAAAGAAAGAAAAGATCCAATACGGATGATGAGGGGAGTTCGTGGCTTAGAATTACTTCTTTGTTAGAACATCTTCATGATTTATTTTCTTCCGAGAATTGTAAAAGAAGCTTTGTTATTAAAGATCATGAACATGTGAACGTGCGGTGAACACGAAGATCGAAAACGGTGTACACAAGCCAGTAATATTATATATCACATCTGTTATAAAAGGTTTTAATAAAAAGTCGCTATATAAAACCAGTATTTTGAGTTATATAAAAAGAAACAAGATATTTTTAACCAACATTCCAACTTTCCATTTTGTATATTCTTGTGTTTTCACGTAATACTTAACTTAAGATGGAGTGATCCTCTGATAATCCTTACCCCATCAACAAAGTCGTACTTTGATGTTGATGTTGACTTTTTTTCAGACATAAGAGTAGAGGGTGTGCTAGACAAAAGATCATAATTTCTGATCACATGAAAATGTAGTTATAGTTTTAAAAAACAACAACATGGAAATGTAGTTATAGGTTTAAAAAACAACAACATGGAAATGTAGTTGTAGTTTTAAAAAAAATGTATGGCATACACACGCACATTTATGTATAAAAGATGAGCGCGCACGTGTGTGTGTGTTTAAACTATAACAAGATATCTCCAAACTACTTTTATATAATCTACTTTATAATAATGTTTCGTAGTTTCCAGGAACTGGTACGTCATGGTAGTTAGGCAGCTTAGCTTGCAAACTACGGGACTGGGACGTGGATTCAAAACCGGGCGTAGAACATGCTCGCCCTTTCAACCAATGGTGTTTTATAATGTTACGGTTAACCTCGCTATTCGTTAATAAGGAGTAACCCAAGAGTTGAAGGTGGGTGTTGTTGACTAGTTGACTATCACTGCTAAATTAGGGACGGCTAGCGAGATAACCTTCTTGTAGTTTTGCGCGAAATTCAAACCATACAAAATTTATGCTTCAGATTTTTGTGCTCACATTTATAATTGCGTTTTTACAGCTATGCCTAGAATAAAGCTTCAGGAAAATTTCCGATCTTTGGATTAGAATTCAACGAGTGCAAACACAAAGTAAAGTAAATATTCGATTTCAGAAGGAATCAAATCTTAATTTTCGATCTGTAATAGTTGTTAATAACATTTGGGGGTTTTATTGCACAGTTGTTGTATTTTTTAAGTTAGAAATAGATGAACTACATTTTTGTCCCACGGTGGGACAGCGGTAAGTCTTCAGATTTATAACGCTAAAAATCAGGTATTAGTTTCAACTCGGTGGACACAGTAACAGCCCGATGTGGCTTTGTTATAAGAAAACACACACGTACTACACATTTCGACTCTCTGCATTATACTATAGTAGTTGGCTAAAGTACAGCATTAATTTCAACCTTATAAATATGGAAAATTGATACATTGGATCTTTTTTAGAGTCGTGATTTAGAGACACATATTTAACAAAAAATGATTAGCTTTTATAATAAAAAATAATATCTTATTATATTAAGTCTTAAAGTTATCTATATACGATTATTTAATGGCTTATTTAGCTACAAAGTTTGTACCATGCGTTATCTCAATTGAACATGTATAACAGAGGAACTTGGTTGAATGAATGAGAAGTTCCAACGTGTTACGTACATAATGGCACTTGAGGTTAATGTTTTAAGCAACCATGCTTTTCCTGAACCATTAATCATGCAGCAATATATGCGAGTCTCGATTTTTATAAGGTTTATGCATAGCGTCTCACCCTAAACTCTCCATTAATGAAACCAGTTATAATTCTTAGTGGGTGTATCAGTGTAAATATAGTTTTAAAAGGAAATCTAAAATGGTTTGTTTGTTTGTAATTAAGCACAAAGCTACACAAAGGGCTATCTGGGCTTTACCCACCACGGGTATCGAAACCCGGTTTCTAGCGTTGTAAGTCCGCCGACATACCGCTATGCCACTGGGGGGGGGCGTATAAAAGGGAGAGGCAATCTTCTCCTAATTCTGAAATTACAAAATGCAAACTAATGGAATTTTGTTCGTATAATTAGAACACGATATTATACAAGACAAATGTTTAAATTACTTCACAAACGCTTGTCTGTTTGTTTTCGCTAATTCCTGAACGTTATTTGTTTGAATGAAATGTTTCTCTATTATTGTTTTGTCTTCTACATTGATTTAGCACGAAAGCTTACTTACACCTTTTTCAGTAAATAAAGCTTGTGATTTGCGTCCAAATTCACATTCTAAAAGACATTGATGGTATTTCTTATACCATACTTTTTCTAATTCTTTATAACAAACAATTCCTTATTGTCTTAGCACGAGGGCGTTTTATATACATATAATGTGAAAGGAAGATGACATTTAGAATCCTTGCTCCACAAGGAACTATAATGGAAAACAAAACTTTATACTCAGTTATTAAAGACTTTAGAATAATATACCACAATAACACAGAACTATTCCTTATTGTCTTAGCACGAGGGCGTTTTATATACATATAATGTGAAAGGAAGATGACATTTAGAATCTTTGCTCTACAAGGAACTATAATGGAAAACAAAACTTTATACTCAATTATTAAAGACTTTAGAATAATATACCACAATAAAACACACAGAACTATTCAAACTTATATTACTATTATTTACACTTGTGCAAGTAAACTGTTGTATAAAGGTAGCAATAAAATAAATGGAAATGTATAAAACCATGTGATTTCTAAACTTTTATCCTATTTATAAAGTTAGATACCATCGCTGGTTTCAAAATATAATTTACAAACTTTAATTATAATACATTGACGAAATCCATTGATCCTGACTAAGAGTCTAGATCTATAAATTATGCTTGTTACGCAATGTTTCAATAGATTTCTTTATTTTATTACACGGAAAAGATTATCAGCGTTCTTTTGAACATTTGTTTTTTCATTTTCATCGAAATTAATTTCACTAAAATCTCCTCCTTGAAAACATGGAGAAACGATCTCAAACTGTTTTACATGAAAAAGTGTAATCTTAATTATTAATAAGTGTTAACTAGGAGTTTAAATGTTTAATTTCACTCTGATTCTTGCTTATTCCTAAAAATACATCTAAGGCACTAAGTAGTGCCGTCTTAAGGCATGGGCTAACTGGGCTGTAAGCTCAGGGCCCCGAGCCATCCAGGGGCCTCCATCCAAAACAATTAATTCAAGTGATGTGCTAAACGGTGTTAATTACACTTATATTGCTATAAATTACACTTGTGTAATCTAAAGATTACACTTCAAGAGCCGAGACGATTAATTTCTGAGATTTATTTTTATATTAAGATGAAATCTAACAAACCACGGAAATCTACAAAATGATAGTTTTTGAAGCAACTATCATTCTTGTTTATTATAGCCAATAAAACCTCATATTTTCGCATCTTAACCACTGCTAAAATCGCATATTATTGTATGTTTCTTTAATATGACTAATGTAATATCAGTTAGCAGCCACACATTCGCCATTTTCTCCACTCATATTCATCTTGTACCATATTCATTTTTACTTATAAAATTTTATCTTTTATGAAATAAATAGTTTTTTTTAAATGCTCCAGTATACTGTAAAGATAAATAAGCGGTTCTATAAAAGTGGTGCTGCAAAACGAAGAAAAAGTTTTGAAAGAAACAGAAACAGCTAAAGTGACTTCAAGTAAAAAATACTGCACAATCAGTTCCTCCCCATCATCGTTTGCATGCGTGAGCTCAAGTATTATCCCCCAGTAAAAAAAAGAAAAAAAGATAATGTTGAGAGTGTTATAACTTCATCATCTACTGATGGTGCAGGTAATGTCGGAAGCACCACAGTTGACAACTGCAACAAGCTCTTCTACTGAAACAAATCCATCAAATGATCCCACATTGTGGCATCTTATTAGTAACGAGCTACGTAATTTCTGGGTTAGTAACGGTCCATCATTATGCTAGGATCATGAGTGGGATTTCAAGAATCCTGAAAGCATTTATGAAGCCCAGAAAAGGTATTTATCGCATTCGGCTTTTATAAGCAAATTGCATAATGGCGATTTTTTTCGTCGTGAATGGTACAGTCTACTGATTTGTGTGCAGGTTCTTTTGTAGTACAAATTCGAGTTTTTCTACAACGGGTTTTGATGATTGGAAGCATGCAGACTTTCGAACTTCTGAACGTGAAAATGGCCCTGAACTTCGAAACTGTATGTTTATTTATTGCAGTTGTCAAAAGGAACTTGGCCAAAATAGACTCATCATTATTGAAACAGTTCAAGAACAAGCGACTTTACTGCAAAATGTTTTAAATAAAGTTATCGCTGTTATGAAATTCTTGGCAACAAAACGTTTGGCATAACGTGGATGTAATGAAACCAAAGGTTCACAGCACAATGGCAATTATTTATAAGCATTAGAGTTGCTGCGCGAGTTTGATCCATTTCTCAAAGAGCACATTGAATAGCATGGAAGTGCCAGTAAAGAAAATCCCTCATACCTTTCTGCCAATATTTGTGAAGAACATATCTGCCTCAAGGGTGTTAAACTGTACCATTCACTGCGTGTTGATTCAACACCAGATCTATCCCACGTCGATCAATTAACCTTTACAATTCAATATCATAAAGATCAAGCTCCAATTGAGCGATTTCTGCAATTTATCCCAATTTGTGGTCATGGAGCAGAATATTTAGCCGATGTATTAAGCTACATGCAACAGAGAGGAATTACTTTATCTGATTGTCGTGGTCAGTCTTCTGATAATGCCTCAAATATGGTTGTACAGTATTTGCAGGCAAGAATCAAATAAATTAATAAATTGGCCGTTTTTGTTCCCTACGCTGGACATTTCTTAAATCTTGTTAGAGACAAGACTGCAGGGATATGCAGTTTGCAAGTTGTGTCATATTTTTGCATCAACTCATCGTTGGCAACTGTTGTTTTCTTCTATTGGCCGTGATCATAAGATTGTAAAACAACAGTCTGGAACTGGATGGTCTGCATATACCGATAATATCACGGCTTTAACTGATACCTATGATGGAATTCATACAGCCCTTGATTCTTTGGTCAATGATAATAGTCAAACAAGACGGATAATAAATGATGCTGAAAATCTCAGTAAGAAGATGAACAAGTTTGAGGTAGTTTTCTCGACAATTTTACGTTTTAATGAAACAAGTAAAATTCTGCAAAAATATGATTTAAACTTCTGTTTCCGTTTGCATTCTTCAGTCCTTATTCTCATATATTCAGACAGCAAGAGGCCACTTTGAAGAATATGAGTGAAAAACAAAAACACAATCTGCCAATAGTGCTTACAGTAACATTAGTAAACATCCAAAAAGAAGACAAAAAAAAGGAAGAAAACGGGGAGGGTTGTGGCAACAGTTATTTCGACGAAGCTGCTAGTGACACCGTTCAACATAGTT